CATTTTTTTCTCTTGAAGACCATATAGTAGAAAGAAAGTTTCTTAAAGCTTCCTATATGGCTAAGTAGACTCGGTACACGAACTTTGGGTACGCCCTAAGTATTTTTCTTGAAGATTATATTAAAGTTATCGAACATCGTTTAGAATATAAATTATCTATTTAAATTCTTTCTCTAAATCCATTGAAATATTTTGTTTTTTCTTTAACAATTCTACATTGTATCGTCATATGTTATTTTTTACTAATGATAAGAAAAACTCATTGGAATTTAAATATAATAAAACTATTTGATTTTCTAATTAAATTATAGTTAAATGATAGTTTTTTAAAATAAGAATATTTTATTTTTCTACTAAACTTGGTATCAATTATTAATCTAGACCATCTTGCTGATGTCCAACTAAAAATAAAAATGATAGATATACGAAATCTATTACTTATTTATTCATTTTTATGATCAATTAAAACACATAGATTTAAAATTGATTAGATTTTATTGATTTTTTTCTGTGTAATCTACCATAAGTTATACATCTTATTATTGAATCAATTTTCAAAAAACATCTTCAAAAATATTCATCTAATATATCATATCAATTTTATTATTATTTTTATCACCTAAATAAACCAGAAAGACACATTGTTTTTGCGAAAATTCAAACTTTTAAATATGATCTTTTTTTCTTTCCGAACAAATTACATATTTGTGTCAAAAAAACGCATTAGTAATTCATCTTTTTATCGTTGTCTTTGAAACAATCAACAATACATACAGGTTCATTCCAGTGAGGACAAATATATAATCTAGGGTAAGATGTAGTGTGTCGGTGCGAATACCGATTTGAAGCTACTATCATAGATGAAGATCATCTATCAATTCTCAACGTTGGGGCATAGAAACTGAATGAGGATACTCACAACGATACACTCAACACTCTCATGTAGATTTTATATCTCTCAACTCCAACATTGAGAATTAGAAGATCATCTAAATCTATTATGGTAGGTTGACATCGATGATGCGGATGTTATTCTTTTGGTTAGTAGCCCCCACCCACCCCACATATAATAAACGATAAAACGATGTTTCAAATAATTAAAAACAATATCAGGAGTACCTTTGTTAAGTAAGTGCATAACGACGCATATATGCGTCACCGGGACTCTCAGGGTTAAACAACGAAGATCTAATTCGATTAGAATTTGTAATTATCATGTTAAATCGAGAAGATCAAGAGAAAATCCACTCTAGATTCTATTTTCTAATAAAGATGAGTGCTAATACAGAATATATTCATACTCTTTACTTCTAATAAGTAAAAAACGTTGTCTACATTTAAGAAATGTTTTAATAGAATAAACTAAATCATTTGAATCAGTGTTAAATTTTATCTATAATCACGTCATCTATAAGACAAAATATAGGTTGAGTATACTATCTATGAATAAAATCAAATCTAAAAGAAAAATTCTTTTTTTTTTTAGTGTAATCAACAACTTAGCAATGAATTTCTCTTTGATTTAAATTCGATTTATTCTGTAATATTAAAGTGTAATTATCTATCTAGAAGATCTTATCAATTAATAAAATATCTATGAACGTTAGATAAAGTAATAGGTGTTATCTATTAGAACGATTGAATGTTATCTAGATTTTATTTTATATCACAACAAGTTTATCTAATCATTCGATATGTTTAAAAAAACAAGTTCTTTTAACTTTCATGTCATATTGAAAATGGTTTGTATATGTTGATCATTAATAGTTGTTGACACAAATGGAAAATATTGATTTGCACATCGATCTGAAAATGTCATTTTATCCGATTTTCTTCTATAATATAGTCGAAATGTCTTTAATAAAAATCGTTCTTAGATTAGAAAGGTAATGACAAGACAGAGAAAAAGAAAATGATTAAATCTCGTCTTTTCAAGATGATCAGACCAGTTAGCGCCATTTGTTTCGAAATATTTATCCGTTTTGTTAAATTATCTCTTATTTGTTATTTATTATCAACAGATTGACTTATTCGATCAACTCAATTTGTTCGTTTGTTATCGTGGCAACAAATAAAATATGTTTTGTATAATACTCGTCTATTTTTCTGTAATGGCGTCACTTTTCAGCCATTACTTTTTTTTTCTTCCTCAGATAAATGATACGTCTGCTTATCCTAACAGGATATATTCGTTATGATCAATTAAACAAATAACGGGTGGATCGAAAGTTTTCGCACAAAATGTTTGTTCATTTTTGGCCTGCTTGAAAGTATTTCAGATGAGTCAAAAACTATGGGTTAAGACCAGAATTTTGTGCTCTCTCCGAATATGTGCTCATAAATTTTGTGTCTGTTTTTGCTTGAGAGTAATAAGGAAATCTTGGAAAGGCCTAAAAAATTAGTTTGGACGAAAAATTTTTTCGTACATTTTCGTATTTTCAGTATTGGGATCCGAAACCAAAAGTTGGAACTTTTGTTGATATATCAGCTTGTAGAGCAAAATCTGCTCTACAAAATGGACTATTTGAGTTTCTTTTTGTCTTCAGATAAGGCATCTAAATTTTCGTTTTCCTATCACCCTCATTTTTGAAGAATCGATTTTTTGACGAAAGGGCGTTTTACATCGAAAGTAGCTCCCGAGAAAATGCTAATAGCTTCACTTGGGTATAAGCTACGGCTTAGTTTGATATCACATTTTGTAAAGAAGTGTCCACTCTACAAAATTACCGACTCTGACAATTTTTAGCACCTTCGCAAAGAGACTTATGAGGGTTAGCAAAAACCTGTTTGTTCGCCGTCCAAACCAATTTTTTAGGCCTTTCCAAGATTTCCTCATTACTCTCGAGCAAAAACAGACACAAAATTTATGAGCACATATTCGGAGAGAGCACAAAATTCTGGTCTTAACCCATAGTTTTTAACTCATCTGAAATACTTTCAAGCAGGCCAAAAATGAACAAACATTTTGTGCGAAAACTTTCGATCCACCCGTTAAACCAAAAATGATATTAAACAAATATTATTCTAATCTTTTTATATCTTGAGAATATTTTTTGAAATTTCTCTTACTATTAGGATAACGAATTAAATAATCTATAAACGAAAGAAAACAAATAGTATAATATAGTTCGGGATAAGTTAGTTAATCAATTGATAGATATTATTGATATTGGACTATGAATTGGTTTTGTTCAACAATGAAGAAAAAATTTTTATTTTAGTTCCAGTCGAAAAATCTTTTCGAAATCGATCGATATAAATTATTTCGATTGAAAATAGTCTAGAATTTAGTAAATTATCTATATTCACTCTGTCAACATCTCATCTTAATTCAAATTAATAATCGTTTACTAGAAAAACATAAGAAAATATATTCTATATAAATAATATAAAGTCTTATTTCAATATAATCGAAATATAAATCATTTCATTTTTAATTAACTTTCTCTTGATTACGGAGAATATATATGATAAATATTGTTTTTCATCAATTCATCTATTTATCTAACTAAACGATTGTCAACTATGAACAACAGAGTAAAAAAAACAAAACTTCCCTAATTATCATAGAAAATCCGATGAACATAAAAAAAAGGCATTTTATTTTCTTTGTTCCCTAGACTGAAAGGCTAGGGTCTAGAAACCTAAATTCACCTGTGTCTGTCTGTCTGTCCGTCCGTCGGTAACGCGGCACAAACGGCCATTTTTTTGGCAAAAACGGCCATTTTTTTTGGCACAAACGACCATTTTTTTGGCACAAACAGCCATTTTTTTCCAAAATTAACTAGGTAGCTATGGTACAAATGACCATATGGTTCAAATGCCCATAATAACAATGGTTCAAATGACCAAATAAGAACTATGGTCAAAATGACCGTGGTAACTATGGTACAAATGACAATTTGGTTAAAATGTCCATCGTAACTGTGGTCCAAACGACTATTTAACAATTATGGTCAAAATGACCATGGTAGCTGTGGTAGAAATGGCCAAATAATAACTATGGTGAAAATCGCCATAGTGATTTGGTACTAGTGATGATAGTAAAAGCATGATAAAAAAATCGACTTGGTAATTATGGTACAAATGATCATACGATAATAAAAATTTATTTTTATTAATAATGTGATATATAAATAAATGAAATAAAATTCATTTTTTTGTGCAAACAGCGCCAATAGATAACTAAAAATGATTAAAATACACTAAAATTTATTATTTGAAAGATGAACAACGATATGAATGCAAACAAATCGTCGCATAAACGTAGTTTCTTCTTTGATACCCGAGAGGAACGATTACAACAACTGGACATGATCTTAAGTATGTAATGTGATCTCAGAGGATAAAAATTATGAGTAAATTTTTATTAAGTCAACAACTTTTTCGAAAAGCTATTTGATTATCCATTTTGATCAACATACTGATATGCTTGAAACTTGTTACAAGTTTATAAGAAACTATGTTTGCTTGAGATTTAAACCTGATATGAAGTTTTGTATAATTTCTGACGAAATTTTCACGAAAGAATATATCAAAAAAAAAATAAAACAAAAACGATAAAAAGATTAAATTTGTAAATGCATCATCTTTACTTAGAGTGAGAATTCTCCAAATTAAGTTTTCTGGTCACCTAAGATATAGTGGTCATATTATCAGTTTTGCGTATTACTTTTTTAATATAGCTTTTTATGGTATTACATCCGTACATGTATTCTATCAGTCTAGGGCTAAGTGAATCGCTTGACGATGAACGTTACTTGTATCTTTAATCAATTGAAAATTATCATCGCGTACTTTCCAACATCATTCACATATTTTTGTTTGTCAACTGATTTTTTTTCACAACAAAATATAATATGACTCATAGAAAGCTTTGTTATTTTTATTTTATTCTTTACTCAAGATAAATTCGTTCGTTTATTGACATTGCAGCATACTTTCTTTCCGCATCGTTCTTTTTTTTTCTTTCATTCTCTGTTTGTCAAGTCAACAAACTGATGGCGTCTTCATCGTCTAAAAAATTATGTTCTACAGGAGATGGTTGTAAGCAAGTGGCAATTACTACTTGTGATGGATGTTCACAAGCATTTTGTTTTAAGCATTTTACTGATCATCGAAATCTACTCAATGATGAACTAAACAAAATTATTTGTGAACATGATGATCTAAAAAATTCACTTACCCAACAAACTAATAATCCAATTTGTCATCCATTGATCACACAAGTCAATGAATGGGAAACACAATCAATCCTCAAAATTCAACAACGAGCAAAAGAATTACGACAAGAATTATCGGAATTAACGAAAAACGATACAAATAATTTATCTCAAAAATTACAACATTTAGCAAAACAAATAAATGAATGTCGTGAACAAGGTGACTTTCTTGAGATAGATCTTTATCGTTGGAAAGAAACACTTGATGATCTCAAACTAAACACTATTTCGTCATCAAAATTAACAATCAATGCAGTGAATGGAAATCCATTAATTGAGAACATTTCTGTTAATATAAAGAATAAGCTAACAAACGATTTATTTGAGAGAGTATCTGACAATCGTGTGCAGATTCGGGAAAATGGTCATACAGTTGTCGATGGCGGTTCTTCTACAATCGTGGAAGTTCGTGGCAAGAATGAATATGTCTCAGGAGTTCATAAAATTCGACTATGTATTGAAGAATTTTCAGGTACGTGGCTATTTTTTGGAATCAATGCCAAATCAACTCCTGTTCAAAATGATGTTCATAGCGCTAAGTCAACATATGGATGGAGCAACAATAACTATAGTTGGTCAAATGGACGTTCAAACCCAATATCTTCAAATCATCCCATTGAAATGAAAAAAAATGATGTTATTGGTTTAATAATTGATTGTGATGATTTCAAAATATCAATGATCAATGAACGTACGCACACAAAACATGAATTAACTATTGACATCAATTATTGCAGTTTACCTTGGCAATTCAATGTCATTTTGTATGAAAAGAACACTCGCATACGCATTTTGTCACCTGAATTTGCATCTTGATCAGTATTGTTTCATTAGAAAGAAGTGCAGTAGAAAATGTATACAGTATTCATTATACGATTTTTATATTTTTTAGTATATAAAAATTGTGTATAATAAATTCATTGAAGTAAATACACTAGATTGAAAGTTAAGATTTTCCATTTCTTGTATAGAATACAATAGAAAGATTTAAATACAATTTATAAAAATGTAATTATGTCATTATTGATTTAAAGAATTTTGAGTAGAAATTTTGGGAAAAGAGGATTCTATCGATAGACTTTTACCAGTAAAAATAACTATATATATTTCATTTTATAGGTGTTTTTGTTCATATGAAAATATTTGAAGTTGTTGTCGTTGTCAGACTAATACAAAAATACTATGATGAAAAATTGTTTCTGAATTTTTGGACGACACCTAGTTTGAATATATTTCCGAGAATTCTTTGAAATGTTACATATTTTCTTACATCTATGATTCACATACAAATTCAGAACAATACTCGATTATGACAGGTAGATAAACTTTCTTTCTTCAAAATAATTTTTTAGATTTCAATAAAATATCAATCAACACGTAATACCATAATATTTAACAATCTTTATGAAATCAACTGATGACACATATTAAATGAAACAACATGACAAAGCGTAACAGAAAATATTAGTCATAATTTTTAGTTCGATCTAATTCTTTTTTTTTCGACGATATTGACTTTAGATATTTGACAAGTTAACGAAACAAACATTTGATCTTTTTCCTAAGAAGAGAGTCTTCTTAGTTTTTCCATTGACATAACGATGAAACTTCTTACCAGTCATCATTTTAAGTTAGTTTTTCATTTTTTCTTGCATTATTTTTATGACGTCCTCGTCTATTCTAAAAAGTTTTTTGTAATTAGCAACACCTGTTAACAAACGGTGCCTATTAATTATGATAATTATTCGCAAGTTTTTTTTACGATATATTTCGTTAGTAATTGTCGTCTTCTTAGTCCGAAAATCAATACAATTGTGTAAGGATTTGATCATTTTGAAAATTCATTAAATCACCAAGCAAATACTCTTGATTCGCATTCGTTTATGAAATAAATTAAACTGTGACAAATGATAGTCCATCAGAAAAAACCAACGATGAAGAAAGTAATGAGAATTGAAAATTCATGAATTAATAAATATTCATTCTTGTAAACAATAGTTTAATAATCTAAAATTCAATTTTGTTTAACCTTCCATAATTTAATATTAATCGAAATTTCAATATTTTTCGAAATCAAACAATATCTATCAGTTAGAAAATAATAAACGACTTATTTTGAACATTTATTTCATATTGATGCGCCAGCAAAAGAAAATAGACAACATGCTATTCATAGTAATTCAAAAACTTGATTGAAATTGAACAAAATACATTAGGTTTTCATAGAACTTGTTTAATATCGATTGGATAGATGGTCTTTTTTGTTGGATATTATTTTGAAACGGAGTCTTCTATAAAATAGATTATATAGTTATTTATCAATTTATAAGAACTCTAATAATAATTTATTTCATCGAATGGATAATGTTATAAAAATAGTTTAAATACATGTATTGAGATGCAAACAAATGATATATCTTTATATTAACCTCGATTGCAATTATTCTACAATTTCAATGATAACTGTAAATATTCCACCAAAGAATGAATAAAATCTCAATATAGATAATTGTTCTTTATTTTGGTGGTCATATATCATTTTATGTTGATCTATAAGTCAAGAGTGCCTATTGATACATGCCCAGTTCTGATAATGAAGAAAGATTGGCAAACACAATGGTATCGATGCTTATGTGAATATTTACATTAGAAATCTTTTGTATTACTTTTCTTCATGACTCGTGTATTACATATCTATAGGGTACAAAGGCTAAGGTACTGCATGCCAAAGTCAAATTACAGGCATCACATTGACGATAAGATAGCTTTTTTGTTACAGGATGCATGAATGCATCATGATAAATAATATTTTTTCACTAAAAAAAAGAAGAATAGAACGAATTTTAACAATTCATATCGACTACATAATAAATATGTTTTGTTTTCTATGAAAAAAAAAAATGTGAAAAATTCTAGTTTTTCAATAATCAATTATACATGATATTCATCTCGACGTTCTAACCGAATAATAACTTCTCTTGGTGCTATGACAAAAGTTTCTGTTAATTGTTCAAATGATTTATGTGTTTGATCACCACAATCGACTATTGAATATGTTTTGAGAAGACGAACAAGTGCCATTTTGAGTTCAATCAAAGCAAAACGCATTCCAACACAATTTCTTGGTCCAGCTCCAAATGGAATCCATGCCATTGCATGTCGTTTTGTTTCAAATCGTTCAGGATAAAATATATGTGGATCAACAGGACCCCACAAATCAGGATCATAATGTAAACTATACATATCCACAGCAATACGTGTACCAGCTGGAATCGTACCAATACCTTTGATATGAAAATCTTCTGAACTTTGACGATTGACTACTACTGGCGCTATAGGATACAAGCGAAGAGTTTCTCGAATAAACATATCTAAATATTCTATTTGTGATACTGTATCATAAGATGGCATATCATCTTCGGTTTCAGGATTGAAGTGAGTATCAATCTCGTGTTGTAATTTTTGTTGTTCATTTGGATGAGTTGCAAGAATATAAGTAATATAACTAAGTGCTGTACTTGTTGTTTCATAACCAGCAATCACTAGAAAACAAAGAAACTTTAAAGAATAGAAATAATAAATTGAACTCACTGAAGAGAAAAATATTGGATACTATTTCATGTTTAGTAAGTTTTCGAATGAGTGGTGGTTCAATTTCTGTTTCTTCATTGGTAATATCAGTTGCTCGACTATCCTATAAAACAATAATGAAAAGAAGCTAAATATATCTCGAAAGTATGATATGTTCTGAAATGACATTAAAATCTAAAAGATAAATATATAACAATTTTTTTGTTTTGAAACTGATACGTTTGCAATAAGGATCAAACTAATAATTCGATTGTTCATTAAATTTGAATTATTTTATCACAAGAACTAAAAAACAGCTCATATAAATGATTTTACTTTAAAAATATTCTACATAAATAAGAACAATATGTCTCTAGAATATTGATTCATGCACAGTCTTAATGCTATTAAGAGATTACTTCTTCGAAGAGAACTTGATAAATAACTATCATAAAGATTTGATGAATATATTTAAATCGATCTAGTGGGGCTGATTATTTAAAAGAAAATAAATTAATCCTACTTGAATTAATTCTTCATCCGATGCTGACTCGAACATCAATTGTAATAAATCAGTACGATTTGTTTGACCAACTTTTTGATGTTTTTCTATAATTTTATATGCTTGTTTCATAATCCATGTTGGAGGATCTTCATTAATGAATCGTTTTGTTATCGGAATATAATGACGACACCAATAACTAATTGCACCTATTGATAAATGAATTTTTCTCCAAAATTTATTCAATTCATTAATAAACAATGCTATAAGAACAATTAATCGAACATTGACTTTTTCGCCGAATAATTGCTGAGAATGAATTAAATATGGATTATTAATATTATTTTGCATATCTGTATCAAGTCCAAAAGCACATGACCAAATTGTATCCATAGTAAATCGTTTATAATATGCATAGATATCAAATGGTTGACCCTTATTATATTGTTCGGACATTTTTTTCATTAGCATATTAATACTTCTATTTATAAGTGGTGTCATTTGTTTGAGTTTAGCCGATGAAAATGTTGGATTAATTATAAATCTTTGTCGTTTCCAACGCAGTCCTGATGCAGAAAACATATTTACTAGTTTTGCATTTTGATCTGCTAATGGAAAAGAACGACGAGAATGAAAATTTGAAAATGATTTAATAAAAACATCTTGTAATATATCTGGATCAGATATAACTAAAATTGGTGTATGTCCTTCAAAATAACCAAAAATACGACCATATTTTTCTGTCCATTTTTTAATAGTTAAAGATGATCGTCTACTTTTGATAAAATCTAGAAAATTGCCAAAGAAGAGAATCGGTTGTGGACCAGGAATATTGAGTTTTTTGAAAAATTCATATGCTGGTCGAATATGCCATAAATAAGCAACAATTATAATTAGAAGTAATGCAAGTAGTATGCTTGTAAACAAAAGCATATTTGACTTATTGTATGCTGGATAAAAACGCGTGTCTTTTTATATTATTTTGACTCACACTTTTCTTCTTATTCGTCTGTTTCATATAATTACTATCGTCGATGTAACACCTACGACATACTTTGGACCGAGTGATACTATTCTTGATAAGAACGCAAGTAAAAGGTTAGACTCGACATATCACATAATCTTCAATTATTTTATAAATGAAAACTTTACTATGAAAATATAATACTTTCTTAGATTTAATTAAATATAAAATAATTATATATTATAATTATTAAAACAAAATTTTTATAAAGCTTATAAGTCTATATAAATAATTAATTTTAATGTTCATCTCGACGTTGTAAACGAACAATAACTTGTTCTGGTGCAATTACGATATATTCTTTGAGATTTACAAATGGTTTACATGTTTGATCACCACAATCGACTATTGAATATGTTTTGAGAAGACGAACAAGTGCCATTTTGAGTTCAATCAAAGCAAAACGCATTCCAACACAATTTCTTGGTCCAGCTCCAAATGGAACCCATGCCATTGCATGTCGTTTTGTTTCAAATCGTTCAGGATAAAATATATGTGGATCAACAGGACCCCACAAATCAGGATCATAATGTAAACTATACATATCAACAGCAATAGATGTACCAGCTGGAATCGTACCAATACCTTTGATATGAAAATCTTCTGAACTTTGACGATTGACTACTACTGGCGCTATAGGATACATGCGAAGTGTTTCTCGAATAAACATATCTAAATATTCTATTTGTAAAACTGTATCATAAGATGGCATATCATCATCGGTTTCAGGATTGAAGTGAGTATCAATCTCGTGTTGTAATTTTTGTTGTTCATTTAGATGAGTTGCAAGAACATAAGTAATATAACTAAGTGCTGTACTTGTTGTTTCATAACCGGCAATCACTAATACTCAAAAATATTAAAAAATTATCAAGACTTAATGTTAGAACTCACTAAATAGATAAATGTTAGTTGCAATTTCATGTTTAGTAAGTTTTCGAATAAATAGTGGCTCGTTATCTTTTTCTTCTTCTCTAACAGCAGACGCTTTATCATCCTAAACAACAATAATAGATAACTTTGTTTTTTTTTTTGTCTTATATAGAAAAAAAAACTTTGAGTAGCATACTTGAATAAGATCTTCGTTTGATGCTGATTCAAGCATTAATTGGATTAAATCTGTTCGATTTGTTGAGGCCATTTGTCCACGTTTTTCCATCATTGTATATGCTTGTCTTATAATCCATAGGTCTGGTATTTCTTGAATAAATTTCCTTGTCAATGGAAAAATACGTGGAAGCCAATAACGTATAAAATTGCTTATATGATACAATTTAAGCCAAACAGTATTTAATTCTGTGATAAACAAAGATAAAAGTACTAAAATTCTGAAAGTATTATCTTCGTTGAATATATTTTGTGAAAAAATTAAATATGGATTATTAATATTATTTTGCATATCTGTTTCAAGTCCAAAACCACATGACCATATAGTATCCATAGTGAATCTTTTAAAATATGCATAGATATCAAATGGTTGGCCCTTATTATATTGTTCGGACATTTTTTTCATGAATATGCCAATACATCGATGAATAACTGGAGACATTTGTTTTAGTTTAGCCGATGAAAATGTTGGATTAATAACAAATCTTTGTCGTTTCCAACGAAGACCAGTAGCACTGAAAAGATGTACTTTTTTAGTATGTTGTTCTTCGAATGCAAAAGGACGACGAGAATGAAAATTTGAAAATGATTTAATAAAAACATCTTGTAATATATCTGGATCAGATATAACTAAAATTGGTGTATGTCCTTCGAAATATCCAAAAATACGACCATATTTTTCTGTCCATTGTTTCATTGAAATTGATAATCGTTTACTTTTAATAAGCTCGAGAAAATTACCAAAAAAAAGTATTGGTGGTGGACCAGGAATATTTAATCGCTTGAAAAATTCGTAAGCTTGTCGAAGACGCCAAAAATAGGCAACGACAACAACTAAGAAAACCGTAATCAAAATGACTGTTAGTAACAACATTTATGGCTTGAGTACAATCAGTAATTTATGGGCAAAATAATTTGTCTTTTTTCCAGGATTAGATCATATACTTTCTTTTGCTTCGTATTTGTTAGTACGTTTCGACGAGTTTTAACTTAGTTTATTTTATTTATTCTAAAATCTCCTTAAATATATAACATAAGAGATAAAACAGAGAAGAGAGAGGAAAGAAAAAAAGAAAAAAAGAAGAAAAGAATAAACAACAATGACAATAAGAATTTAAAAAAAAAAGAGATAGAAAAACATCGAAGAAAGGATGGTGGTGAATAACCGCTAACATTTCTCCTCTTCCATATTGGGTGTGTATCTTTACACATCAATATTGAGTTCATAAATTTGTTCGATCAATTGAATATGTTCATCATTGTTTGATGAATTGGTTCTTTTTAGTAATGTAACAGTTTTTCGATAACAAAACGTTTTAATAATTTGAGTATTTGTAGTCATGATGAAAGGTCATTCACGAAAGTATCTGTAAGAGTGGCTATGATGAGCTCAGCTTCTGTCATGCTTGGTCACTGAGTACGGAGTATATGTCCGCAATTTTGAGCAACAATCGAACTTCAGTAAAGAGTCATGATAAGTATCTTAAATTCTGCACATGTGTATCGAGTAAACCGAAGTCCTACATGCATACCTTAACATAAGCATTGTGGACTTTTCACTGAACATGCAGTGAACTAAACATTTTTCAGGTGCTCTGAGAGGCAGCATTTCTAACAGCAGGTGTATCAAGCATTAAAAAAATGTACACATCACATACCACTGCCAATATACATATTGCTTTATACTTTGCTCAAGCAAGTTTCTTGATTAAAGTATAAAGTAGTATGTGATCTGTATATTTTCTTTATGCTTGGTACACTTGCTGTTAGAAACGCTGCTCAGAGATCTCTACCTAACATAAGCATTGTTCATATGTTTTTCGACGATTCTGAGTATGTACTTGTATGAAAACTAAGAAAAGAAGGACCGCTGCGAGGTCTATAGATATATAAGAGAATATGATAGAATTTCTATGAAAAAATGTGTAAAATAATTGAATTTGTTAATTTTAATATAATTTTAATAAAAAATATTCTCTGTTAGGTAGATGAATTAATATATCGAAATAATTGTTTATCTATTTCATCAATGATTTTTTTATAATAAAATAAATTTTTTTGAATGGAAAAATAAAAATAAGATGAAAGAATTTTGTGAAGAAAAAAACATGAAAATAATTTAAAAAAAAAAATGTTTAAAAAGAATAAAATTTAAAAATGAACACTTTCTTGTTGATTTTCTTGTTGAATACGTTGATAAGTTTTATAAAATATTGGTTCTTCAATAAGTCCATATCTATGATAATGTGTTCGAGTAGTTATATACGGTATAAGTTGTTCATATGCATCTCTTAATTGTTCCATTGCTTTTTTTCTTTGTTCTAATAAATCTTTATTATGATTTGTCTGTGCCCATTGATAAGTTATGCGAAGATAATTTATCGAAGCTTGTTGATGATTTTCTCTTGCTTTTTTATTTCCAGAAAAATCGTTCTGAAATGCTGATAACATAATATTATCTTGTTCTGTTGGTGGTATATAATTAAAATCTGGTTTATTACCATTTAAGTGTTTTGGTATATTTGATAAATCGATAAATTTAGTTAATTCATCAATATTATTTATAAAATGAACTTTACTTTCAACAACAGGATCTAACCATCGTTTAATAATATACCAACATCTATTAAATATCCAAGGAGCATTAACAATAAGTGCAAGACCAAGAGATTCAGGATAATAATTTTGTAAAAGATTAAAAAGAAAATATGTATGTTGATAATCCATATTTTTCATTGAAAATTCAGTCATATCAAAAATAAGAGTTACAGATTCAACAGGACAATGTAACAATTTTCGTCCTATTTCCATGGAAAGTACAGTTAATTTTTCTGTTGTTTCTGATGGAAATTGACCTTTTATATGATTCTTTACAGAAATATAATTTATTGGACGACCAAATCGATCATAACCAATATAGAATGTTTTACCTGTTAGAATTTCTTGGTAAGAAAGTTCTGATTCTCCTTTAGCAACAAGTTGATTAACACCCCATTGAAATCTCCATTCTAATGTGTTAATAAGTTGTTCTAAAGCAAGATTAACATTCCATTTTCTTGCTCGAAGTCGTCGAAGTAAAACAACATCAGGATTATCAGAAGCAAATAGGTTAAATAATTCATTTCCATATGTTGAATCATAAAAATCTTCTAATGAGATTTTATTTTTATTTGTTATTTTATCAATAATAGATATCCAAAAATTTTTAAGACTTTCTTCTTGATCTTTACTAAGATCATCTAAAAAAAAAAAAACAAATATTTATTTATAAATAAATCGAATAACTTACTTATATGTCCAGGATCGTTGGCACTCATCGTTTTATATTTAACATTTTATCTTTAAATAAATATGACAAATATTTTACTCGATTATTAATCAATTTAATAACTAAATTCAAGTATTAACAATCATTCTTTATCTTTTCATTCAAATTATATATTAACATATTAAATTTAAAAGAAAAAAATTTTTATTTTTTTATATTTTATTTGTCTAAATAGTTGAAAATGAATAATAAAAAATATTCTTAATAAACCAATGTTATTCTTGTTGATATAAATAGATAAAAAACGATCGTTTTATAATAATAAATGCTATTATAGACATGATTGGTCTTACTGATTGACATTGATCAAGGTTATATCCTTGAAAATATTTATTGTTATTCGTTCGTCTTAGTATGAATAGATATCAATGATAAATGAATGACCAAATGTTGAATATATTTATATTTGATTATTATTTGTTTAACTAAAATAATATCTTTAGTAATACGTTGGTTTCTTTTTAAAAATCTAATTAAAATAAAACATGATTGTTTGAGAAAAAAATAGTTGTGAAAAGTGAATAAAATTGAAGAACAAACATTTGAATATGTTTATGTTGATTTATTTTTAAAAAAATATTTTAAGAATTGAAAATAAATAAAATAATTAATTATATATTGTTATTTCAAATGTGAAGAATTTTATTTTATTTTTGAAATTGTTTTTATTATTTTGTCCCTTTTCTTATTTAATATAGAATTATTATTTGAAATTTTATTGAGAATATTTTCAAAAACGAAAACAATTTATTTAAAATCTTTTCAAAAATGTTTTGTATTCATTTCCTGTTAGCATATATTGATTTATTTCTCCAAATAATTTTATTGATTTTTCAATCAATTATTAAATAATCTATCTATTCATCAAATATTAAAATAAACAAATTCGTTAACAGATTCATTTTTTTTTTGTTTTATGATTAAAAATAAATGAAAGAAAATAAACAAAGTTTATTCTTTTGAATTATTTCATTTGTTCTGCATAGAAATCTCTAAAAATAAAAATTCGAATGGTTAAACTTTGAATGATCAGCATCTTGAATAAAGGATAGATTTTTTTTTTCTCAAATATATTAACATTTTAATAATTGACCTAGAATAAATCGAATCAAGATTAACTTTTGAGAATAACATAGAAGAGAATTTGATACATAAATCTATCTCAAAATCGTTAGATTATTAACAATAATAATAGTGATCACTTTGTTAGAAGAGAATCAAATGCATCAATGTCATTTTCAATATTTCTATAGAAAACTGGTTAGTGCATTATATCTCTCTTAATATATAAATATATTTGTTTTACTCTACCCAAGCAATGCTATTTAAAAAGTTCAATAGAATTTTTTAGAAATTCGAAAATTTTTTAGATATTTAATATTGTTATTCTCTTATATGTGTTGATGATAAATGAATCGAGTTGTATAAAATAGAGGGAGAAAGATAGGATAGAGATTGAGAAGGTATCTATTATCGTTAATCAGGTAAGAGTATCGAGATGAATGATGATCGAATAGTCTCACATTGTTTATCAGATAAACAAAGTTCATAATAAATCATGTCATTGAATGTTTCCTCTTGAGTTATGTATAGTTTATTAAACTGTGATCTATATCAAAAAATAGATCATGAGAAGTCGAACTGTAGGATTATCATCTGCAGTTTTACACAAAAAAGTCTGAATGTTACTACAGTCTGACGAGAGCTTCAGCTCACATGGGCGGATGTGGGTGTGGATGAATAGACGGCTGGTACCTACCCCCCCCTCCCCCACACCCCATTCGTTTTTTTTCAGTATGTTCATTGTAATGTCAATCGTTATTTGTATATCCCTTGGATTGTGTTACAACCGATCCAGGAATTTATGATTCAATATTTGGATGTTATATTGGTCAAATGGTCAAATCAATTCTATCTACATGAAATTCTTTATCAATAAGAAAGAGTATTATAGGTTTTAAATATAATATGGAATTATTCATTTGTATCTGTCTTTTTATGATTATTTTTGATAACAATGAATGATTGAGTTTTGAACAAAAATGAATTTTTCATTTTTATTTATTTATATTTAAAATTATAGGTTCAATTAAAAGAAGAACGAGTTTTTCTTTTTTCTTTTCTTTAACATCATTTCGATCAGTAAATGATCATCATCAGAATAACATCAAAGAATTCAATAAGAACAATTGAATTGAATTGAATTGAATGTTCATTGAAATAAATTCAACTCAAGTTTCAAGTTTGACATGAACGATAAATTTAAGACACGTTCAAAATTACTCCTTTGTGCAAGGGGGAAACAGCTGATTCTGTGGCTCTATAATCACTGGAATCAATGGAATCGCTCAGAATCATTTGGAGTCAATGAAATCTTGGAATCACAGTTTCTGCTGTTTCCCCTTTGCCTTTGTGGCTGTAACACAGAGGATTACATTATGTATTGTCTTAAGATCAATCGACACACTGGTCGAGTATCATTGATTCATGCCGATTCGAATAGTATTGCTAATCATGAACGAATAAAATGTCGATTTTCTTCCAACGAATCTGATCTATCTAAATTCGATTATGTTCAGATAAGTGTTGGCTTATATAATGTAACTGGTCAAAATATGATTATGCATTGTGAACACATACAGAAATAGCATCCAGCGTTCGACAGAGAGTTCAAGAAAGATTTCAATTCATTTCTCATCAACAGGCACCTCTTAGTATCTGTGGAAAAGAGGCAAAAGACATTGCTTTGAGCAAAAACGATAAAAACGACGAGAAGTCGTGAGCACCATGCCATGATTCTGTCAACTGCCAATTTCAATATGCAAAAGATCGTATTAGTCGGTATCAACATTCATCCAGTTTTTTTCAGAGTTATGTCAAATAAAGCCAATGAACCACATCTTGTGCACTAACTCCATTCACTGCCAATGTCTAAAGGCAGTCGACAGTGTAACAGGCTAAGTAATCCTATCCATCGGGCTCAATTTCGCCATTCAAATCTACCAGGTTACTTTATAGTGTGGCCCGATCAGACAAATTGCCAAGACGAAACAATCGAAGATCGAATAAAATATTCTCATCATTTAAATGATTGTACCACTATAGTATGTTGTTTTTTCATCGTCCCAACTACGTTCAGTACCTGATCACTAGACATTCTATTGATACAAAAATGAGTTTTCAATGACCAGCATCAAGTCAAGCATTCAACGACATACTAAAAAAACTAAAATATTTTCACATATATTGTATCTTCTCTGTACCAAAAAAATAAAGCCAAATTCTATATATGCTATTTCATTGATTCATCTTTTCGCAGCATAAATGAATGCTACAGACATCATATCGTAAACAATAAACAAACTGTCGATAATGATATGATCGAGCTTGTAGGATTAAAATGATAATCAGAGATTTCATTTTGTACTTTTATTTTTTTACATCAATTTGATATCTGTGAATGAATTGCAAAATTATTGTATCATTCTCTAAAAAAAAATTTCAGATTTAGAAAACAGTGGTTAGTGCATTCTATATTACTATATCAGAGGATGCTATGAATAAATGTTTCCGACTACCACTATCATACTGGCAAGGATACGAATTTTTCTAAAAATATTATTTGAAAATTCAAGGTTAAATGACTTTGATAGTACACGCCTCAGTTGGAGTTGTCGACGGTATTTTAGATATTAATGTTGAGTCTTTTCTTTGTAATGAATAATCATACTTAATACAAAATTAGCCGCTGAAACAGTCTGATTTACCCTAAATCATTCTTAGTTTTTGCACTTACACAGCGATAAAATTTGCAAATGTGTAGTCAATTAGTGAATGTATATAATTAGTGAGATTCTTCTGTGAATTCATTAACCTGTGGAAGACAATCTATGATTAATTCGCATGACTGTTGAGAGTTCCTTAAAGATAAAGTCAAGTAATATATTCTGAATCTGCTTCGGTTTTGGTTGTGAAGCAGTTATGCACATAATAATCTCGCGTACCACAATGACAATAATTTTTCTCTGTTTCATGAACTATAAGCTTTCTGACCTTAATATTTTGAATGATATTTGACCACAACAAGTGGATAAAATGGTCAAGATTTCGCCTCAATCTGCCGTAGCTTAAGAGAGTTATATATCAAACAAAACAAAAAATCTCGTGTGACATTTAGTGTGACAACCAGAATTTTCAAATTTTATTTCATATTTTTTGTTAACAAGAATCAGTATAACTTTCTCATGGTCTTTATTGGTTTTATTTTCCATTTATTGACTTTCATTCAACACTACTTCGACCAATTTTCGATACCTTGTTAGATGTCAAAATAATTTTTTTAATCTCGCTTGACAGCAAATCAAGGATTGACTGTACTTACAATACTCAGAAAAAACTATAATGAGAAATACGCTAGAAGAACCAATCAGTTTTACATTCGAGAAGTGTAGACTGTATTATCCTGTCAAAATGTGTTTTGTCCCTATTTCTCTTTGATATCCAATCAATTTTGTTCAAATAAAATTTCTTCAAACGAAATGCCAATGATATTAACATCGCTCTACGCAAAAATTAGAAGTGTCTTAACGCTAATAAAATAATTTAAAAAGAAATTTGCAATGGAATTTCTTGTAAACTAAAACAGCTGGAAACTTGATTTTTTTTTAGAAGTGAATGGGTACCTTTAGAACAGTTAAACAAAAAAAAACAAATTACCAAAACCGATTGAGTAGAACTCGAATTACAAGCATTTTTCTTTTCGGGATACCATTGTACAATGATTGTGCTCTTTACTTAGCTATGTGAATTAATCAAATAGTTATATGGCTAACAAATTATTTATATATGACTGATATAATTGAATGAAATCGCGCGTATATTATCGATTTTCATAGATTTTTATCATGAATAGAAAAATTCTATTTTGATCGATCAAAAAATATATAAAGAAAGGCAGTATAATTGGTACGTAGTAAATACCCTTCTTGTTTGATCGAATCTTTTCTGTTATTATGACAAAGAAAAGAAAAATAATATATAATAATCGATAAAAATAGACAAATAATTAGAAGGTAATTGGAAATAATCTATGAGTTGGTGGTGCAGTCAAATCTAATAAATAGGAGGAAAAAAAACAGAAAATACAATTTAATTGAAGAAAAATAAAGTTAATCAAACTTACCACTTTCAAATCGAACATTAATTGGACGATTATAATTTTTAAGAATATCTTCTGCTGTTCGAAAGATTGGTTGTTTAAGAAGATAATTAATATTCACTTTAAAAAAAAAAAAGAAGAAATGTTATTAATATAAACTTTTCTATTTTTGATTACCTTGATTAGGTAATAAATCAGCTCGTTGTTGATCAAGATTTGCAAGAACATCACCTGGTCGTTCCTGTTTATATCAAAAACAAAAATAGTATATTTAAAATAATATGAAATATTCAATCATTACATTTCGTTGTCGTTCTTCAGCTTGATATTTTGCTAATCTCAATAATTTACCAAGAATTTCAATAGCAATTGCTTCTGTTGTTTCAGCTGGTTGAGCATCAAGATCTTCAACAGCTAATTTAATACTTTTAAATGACCAATTTGGATAAAGTCTTGTTTGAATCTGAAGAGACAAAAAAACAAAAATCATAATCTTAAATTTAATTATATTCAAAAATATAAACATTATAAGATATATTAAGAATTGATGCTTCTCGTATAAGACCATTATGATTATTAATCGATTGATTAAGATCTTCAAAAATAGATTTCATTGCCGAATTTGTTACTTCAAGATAATGAATAAAAAGAGTTGGAAAAATAAGTAATAGACCAGTAGCCGGTTGTACATTATTATCTTCAGGTGTATTATGTTGATGATTGTCGAAAGGTTTTTCAATAGTAATTGGTAAAGAATTTATAAATTTTTGATAATAATCTATATAAATAAAAATTAAATATATTCAAAGAGAAAATAAAACAATATCTTGAAATAATTCAAACCTCCAAGTTCAGGTTGTTTATCCCAAGTATCTCTTAAACGACCAATAATAACAATATTACTAAGAAATGGAAGCTAAATATAACATATATTCTTGTTTTTTTTTTCCTTCTTATAAATATTTTTTAAAATATATAATATACTTGTTTTTCTTTGATATATTCGAATAATGTTTGAGTAGGATATGCATGATGATCAACAGCACCACCGCCTCCACTTGCTACTGACGCAACACGATTATGTCTTTGATGATTACGTGGTTGAGCCATGATATTTAAGTTAAATGCTTAATTTAAATTGATTGTTTAATATGACCATCATTTTATATTACAATGTCATAGTAACTGACTCTATAAAATCGGTGAATACGACCTCTATCTTAAGCTAAAATATTCAGTACTGTGGTTTTTACGTACCGATTAAAAATACATACATGTGTAGATGAGATTGTTAACATATTAATTTACAATTTATGTTATTTCAAAAAATAAAATCCTGAATAAAAGAAATTGTTTAAAGCAAATTTCACTCTCCGTTTTAATTAATATTTTGATTGTCTTGATAGTAAAATATGGGATCGAGTTATAATCAAGCAAGCAACATTAGGTGTATATCAAATACAATGAAAATACTTTATTGTATACGAAAGTATTTTCGATTGTCAATGCATTATATATATTTCGTCGTTCAAAAATAGTCAGTGATTATCCATCCTGAAAGAGTTAATATATATATATGAACAAAAACCTTGTCACCCTTCCATTTTTTTTTTATTGTGCCTGTCATCTAATCTTAAACAAATGTTAATGGTAAGAATGATTAAAACTCTTTCTTCAATATTGTATATGATTCATTACAATTTATTTGAAGGAAGATTACACGTTTCAAAGCTTTATTCTTGTAATTAATATTCGTTTGAGATCCAATGATAAAATATAGAATAGAGAAAGAAGAAAAGCAAAAGTCTTTTGTCTAAAATTGCGTTATTCGAAATAGCATTGCTTTTTACTTTGTATCATTTATAAAATTGAATATGTCGTGTTCGTCTTACTAATGTTGATGACATTCCCTATTTTCTCTTCTGTATTCAAGTAGAATAAGAACCCTAGAGGCTATTACATGGTAAAAATCCATCAATCATTCAATTGAGATGTCTCACTTGAGAACATCAGCTTTTCCTGTCGTCATTAACATTGAAAACGAGACAATAGTTCAATAATTGAAAACAAAAAGAAAGAAAAAAAAAGAAAAGATATCCATTGTATAATTTTTCTATATGCTAATTGCTTTGTTATAAATTTTCATATATCGATTAAGGAAATTCTTATCATCCTGATGATTACATTGTTAGTTTGTTTTATTCTTTAAGATATCAATTTAACATAAGTAGTATAATAAATAATTCATCAATTATAATTGAAAACTATCTTGATACTGTGACAAGATAAATTAGATATGATTTTGATGAAAAACAAAAATAAAGAGTATTTTGATTTGAAAAAAAACACACACACAGAATAATGACAGCAAATGAACTAAATACAAATTAATTATTTTTTTCTTTCTTTTTTTTTTTTTTTATTTTTTATCTACCAATACAAATCGATGTCGATAAGTTTGACTATATACTGAATAAACTAGAGCTTTATCGGTAGTGCAAGTATGCTTTCCGAACGACACACAATCGTCATTTTCTTGATAAGAGAGACAAAATTCTTTTCCGGTTTTTTTTCTGGAGAAAACTAGAATATGAAAAAGAGGGAGAGAGAGAGAGAGTAAGATATATATATAGAACAAATGGAGGCTAGTAGTGTGCTTCAGCTCTTTTTTTTATAAGAGAAAAATGCAGTATCACTCTTGAGGACAAAAGCAAACATATACAATTGCGGAAGTCATAAAACGTTTTCAAACATAGAAAAGTTTATTTTCTAATTAACTGTATACGATTAGGATTTATTTAAATCTACGTTTTAGATAATTCTTTTCTTCTACAAAATTTCTTTTTCTTTAATAAAAAATCAAAAACAAAATGTCGACAACAAAAACTTCATTTGATGATCTTCGATCAGAATTCGATCGTCTTGACGAAGTAAGATGAATAATTAAAACTAAATTTAATAGAAATTTTTTTTTTTTGTCTATATGTTTTAGGATAGAGATGGTTACATAACTTTAGATGAATTTCGTGCATTTCATTCGAAAACAACAAAAGATGATTCAGCTATAGTCAAAGCTTTTGCTGCTATTGATTCGGATAAAGATGGTCTTGTAACATTTGAAGGTATTGAAAAATATATATATATATATATATATTTTTATTTTTATATAAAAACTTTTGATTTCGTTTCTAGAATTTCAACGTGCATATAAAGATTAATATGCAGATCAACTTAAACTATGAATAAACAGTTTCTTCTTCTTCTTTTTTTTTAAATGTATGTCACCTGCACGTCACTTTTCTGTGTTTGTTTGTCGATGTTCATTATATATTAATGATTACAGTATGAAAAAAGTGTTTTTGTTCAGTTACGCATCATTATTTTTGTCATAAATCACTTACTGTTCACTTGCTTAGTATATGTGCATATATATATTTCCTTCAATGTACTGAAAATATATATTTATTGACAGAATAAGATCAATCTTGAATCGAGCTGAAAAAAAAAACGAACATAAACTGCACTATCTATCTAATGGCATCTTCAAGGTCAAAAAAAAAAGAAGAAAGAGCGAAACATGCCATGGAATCAAATGCCATGTGATTATCCATGTCATTAGAACAAAGTGCTGGCTCGTACCCTACTTTGGATAAAAATAGCACTGTATATTAATTTGTAACATGTCAAAGTTTGACGCTGGTTATTAAAACGGATAGAAACATAAAGAAAGAGAAATGTCTTAATTAAAATAAAAGTTTGACATGTGTGATATGGAACAGATCACTTTGAAAATAATAAACCAAATCTAATTCATTTATTGAAACAAATAAAAAAAAGACGTAATAGACCATATATATATTCTTTGAGTGATTGATCTTTTGTTAGAATTATATTTTAAGAATAGAATAACAAAAAATTCATTATAGTTTTTCTTATAAAAAAAAAAGGAAGAATCCTATTTAATCATTTATTAGTACGAGAAGAGTGCAAACGAAATAGAGCAAATAAACAAAACTAAATATTTAAGTATATCATCTATCGGGATCCATATGTAAAAATAATGAAGAGAAAACATGATATGTCGATTAAAGAAAAACATGGATGTGTAAGAATACTGAAATGAATTGTAGAAAAGAAAAAATAAGACAAAGAAATAAAACATACCATTTGTTCGGAAAGAGTGTATTTAATAGTATTAAGAAAGAATTCAAACTAAAAAAAAAAAGAAATTCTTTTCTAGTCTATTCTATTTTGAAATAATACATATTTAAATCATTGTACACTCTATTCATTCCAGTAACAAATATTTTTTTTGTATGCATTTTGATTTTTAATATTCGATCAATGTTTTCATTGGTAGTCTCTATCATTAGGATGAATAAGACAATAGATAATTGAATATTGTTATAGTGATTTCTGATGTTTTCAACTTTGACTAATAATCTTATATAGTTGATAGATGGCTTTAAAAGATTATACATATAATATAATTGATTAACAACAATGTATCGTCTTTTTGTTTTTTGATCGGTACGAATTTTTTCCTTATGTAATATTATACTTTAACAAATTTCAACTCATCTATAAATCTATCTTCTTTATAATATGAAAAATCTTCTTTAAAATACTTTAATTAAATATAGTCAACAACTGATAATAATAGCGAAAGTAAAAATTTGGTCAAGAATTTTATCAATAAATTGCATTATTTTTTATATAACCAACTCTACATAAGTTTTATATTTCAATAGATTACAAGTTTATTTTTTTATATTGGAATTTAACATTAGAATCTTTTCATACATGCCAAACAAAATATCATCTCATTAGATTTCTAATCATATGAAGAAAAAAAAAATTCCTAACCATCATATTTGTAATGATAACACTGTTATCTTTCAATGCAACAATCGGCTCATATTCATTGCTATTTCATTGTAAGACAAAAAAATGACATCATCACTATGAGCAGCAACACTCACATTATCTTGAGCTATTCAATTGATATATATATATATATACATGCTTAGTCCTATCATTATATAATAAACGAAAGAAGACAAAAAAAAAGAGAATTTTCATATTTAAATAGACTGAAGGTGTTATATACATAAGACAAAAATATATATCTTAACGATTGAACAAATGCCAGTTGCAACAGTAAGTCTTTAAATTAATTTGAAAAGAAAAGAAAATTGTTTCTTTTTTTTTGTTTTTTAAAGATTGAAACAAAATCTGTAAAAATTGATGATGATTTAACTGATTTATCATGGCTTATACAAATGAATAATAATAATAATAATAATAATAAACAACCATTTTCAATATCAAATGGATATAATCATGAAAATAGAAATAAAAAAATTGAACGAATTAATAAACCATTTGCTGTTGTAAATGGTCAAACAATTCGTTCATCAATACCAACATTTTCTCGTGATCATCAATATTCAAATGAAGAAAATCAATTTTATTCTCAACAATCATTAAATAATCAAACAATGAAACGTAAATTTGATTCAACATTATCATATCATCATCATCATCATCAACCAAAACGTTTTCAATCCGAACAAACTCTTCCAATACATCCAATATCATCATTATCATCTGAATCATTCTATATTAATCGTTCACCATCTTGTATACCACAACGAACATCTATGCCAACAACATCACGATATATGTTACTCAAAAATGATCCATCACTTTCTGATACAATATCAACTGTTCCTATGTCGACAAATTTAAATGAATCAATGGAACATAAAAATATTTATTCTGATGATATTGAACATTTATTAGATATATTTAAAAATGAAGTAGAAATGATTGGACTTGATCCAATAGCAACAACAAGTGCAGGTGATTGTGCTATTGATTTCGGTCATTGTTTACCATCAAATGAATTTTGTCCTTATTGATTTTTGTACATTTTTTGTTAAGCTATAATATAAAAAAAAAAAATTCATGTTTTTTTCTTTTTCATTGCAAGTTCAGATAAATAAATTCTATTTCAAAAGTTGTTTAGACAATTGTTCGAATACTTATCTCTAATTGATATTTTTCTTTTAGCTATCTTGTGAGTTATGAAGATAGTTTGGAAACATAATTCAATTTATATTTTTCAATGTAATTATTAATCTTGAAGATTTCTTATTCGATATGTTTGTTCATATTTCAATAGGTAGGATTCAATGAAGAAAAATATGCATGTATTTAATAAAATTTTGCTAAATAATAAGAATACATTCAGAAACAAATTAAAAAGACAATTTGAAATTTCTCAATACATAAGAGATAGTCGTTTTTTTTATCATTGAGCTGCATCAAACCATATTTTTTCTTATCCAAATAAGACAATTAATTGATTATAACCAAGAAAAAAATTTATTTTATTTAATAAATTAATTTTTATTTAGTTTACAAGTTTGTAATGATTTATAACGATATATCACTGATATATTTTGTCATGTTTGACAATTGTATAATGTAATTAATTCGAAAAAATGCTCTTCAAAGTTCGGCAAATGTTAAAAAAATCAACTGGAAAACTTACTATATAATAAATCTAAAGAATTCAATCGAATGCATATTAAATACTAACGATTGTTTGTGAAACATATACATAAACACTTGAGACAGATGTTGTCATTAGACAAAAAAGACATATTGTTAGAAATGATGTTGTTGAGTAGCACGATCAAGGATTACCGAATTCAGACCATTTTGATCTACTATCAGTAAAAATTTCATTGATTTTTATTTCGTTAGAGTTGAGTTATTTGAAAAATATCGGCCGTTACGAAATTTCAAAAAATTGAAACTTTTAGCGAAGGTGTATTTAGCATTATATCCAGAGGTGTATCGAATGAAAGGGACCGAGGGTGATCTTTCCAATCTTTAAAATTTTTGTTTTTCCCAGCGAATTTGTACCATTTTCTTCGTTTCTTTTTGCTTATCGGTCTCTATGACAAAGGTCGACCCTTAACTTGTCGTGAATCCTATCTTTTCAGTAGTTATCCGCTCCACCATCTTGGTGACTTCGAGATATCCATGATTTCATTTCGAAACGAAGCGACATAGAAATAAACTTTCTATGTGGATTTTTCAGAGGAGGTCAGTGTGGAAGCTCCGAATCGTGTTCACTGTTCCCGTAGCCCACAGATATTCTTGCTCACACCCACTTTCAAACCAATCACACCATCTAAATCTACTCCTTTTTCTTTATCAAACTTTTTATAATTTGTCTACCAGAGTAATATTTTCAATGTTGAAGAAATTGATCTCAACTCAAAATAGTCGATTTTCATATGCCATAGTAAATCATGTCGCATGAAGACAGAACAGAAAAAAAGCTATTAGTTAAGAAGCATACTACAGTTGATTGACTTAGTGCACTGAGCCGATAGTGGCATGTTTCTTAACCAATAATTCTTTTTTTTTTTGTGTGTTCTGTCTTTATTTAGATAAACAATGATTGTGTGCTTATTCTATATATATATTCAATTGGCATCGCATCATCAAACAACGTGACCTCATAGTGTAATTGGCTATTGATGTCAACTTTTGGAATGTGACACGCGAAAGCGAGTAAAAAAAAAGAGAAGAGAAGTAACGAAGCTGACAATTTTTACATTGTCAAATATTTTCTCGAAAAGACTAGAATACAATGCAATAATCCGACAGTTGATATTCCAGTCGCCTTAGCTTGCTTTTTTTTTGCTATAGCCTTGGATCACATCTTGAGTGGTCTAATACTTTATTATACTGAACATTCGAAAGAATTGAATTATAAAGAAAGTAATTGTCGTGTGTTAAGAATTGATTATAAAAAATTCACATGCCGATCAAACAAGGCTAAATACGGCTGCTATGTTACTACATAGACAGTGCAATACATAGAAAAAACGGCAATCAATGCCGCTATCAAAAGTGAAACATCTTATCGAGCTCAAGAGGAAGCTATGATGAAAACAGATGAATATCAGGTAAATAATAGTTCTAGTGATGGAAACTGGTCTTCTGCAATATTATTCATATGTAGAGACATGCAATAATAAGATTTTGTTTTATCATCACTCGTTATGATACAATTATAAATATAGAAGAGTAATGTCAGATTTGCTTGAGTGACTCTCAATGAGATGAGAAAAACATCTAAAAAAAACAGCTATCTGATTTGAGAAAACAATATCCCGATTCTATTTTTGGATGG